AGAAGGGATTCTATTGTTTGTGCATGGGAGTGTCTCACTGTATGACTCTTTTTATTGGTTTATTTACTTTGTGTCCCTGTGCCCAACAAGGTCCACCTGGGTGTCACCCTTGTTGGGAAACTTGCATAAAAGGCCAGTGTGCCTCCATTAAAATCCTATTCCAGCTTACAAAACTGTGTGCCGTCCTGTTATTGGAGGGAAAGAAGATTTACCCCTGTGCCTGCTGTTCCAGCTTGCAGGGGATTCAACGGGGAAAGTCCTTGTAAGGACTAGAACTAAATCCCCATTCGGCTCCAGGAAGGAGCGGTTCCAGGGCCCCAGTCAAGCCACGGCGACTGTGGGCAGAAGTGCTGTGGTTTGTCCCCTGTTCCAGCTAGGAAGCGGTCCTTGGTGGAGGAACCCAGCCGGGGTACAGGGAGCTCTGTTACAGTTCCCTTGGTAAACTCCTAGGATTCAGGGCACTTATTGGACGTTGGCACTGGATGGATAGTGGCTCACAGACGGAATGTTGCCTGTGCTCCCTACGGTCGTATGCTCCCCAGTGACTCAACTAATAACTGCGCACATGAAATATTGGTGGAATACAGTGACAATATTTAAAAACTGCATAGACAGAAAATTACAGTGACAAACTACAACTACTAAGTTGCAGGGAGAGGAAAAATGGAGAGACTCAGTATTGCTTGGTTCTGGGTGTGTGTGTACTATAAAGAGATACTTGTTAGTTCAATCTGTGACGGTTATTTGTAAACTCTCACACTGATCCAATAAACATATATGTCTCTTCTTTTGCAGCAATTCTATATCTAAAATAATCATTCAATGAATTGAGGAAACTTCCATCTATCAGCTACACCAGGCAGAATCCTCAGGATCTTTCATCCATTCACAATTGGAAATTCTACACAACCTCACATCGTAAACTATTGGACCTGTCATAATGCCAGACAGACAGATATAGATAGATAAACACTGTTAGTATGGATAGACAGACAGATAATAGACAGACACAGACAGACTGATACGTTCCCCGTGACTCATTGTGCTGTGTGAATGTATTACGTCACCCAGACCCCTTCATTACTGTCAGTTTTATGTAAATATATTTTTAATAATTTTATCCCCAAAATTGATTATTTCTTTATAATCTGTCACTTTAAAATGAGCTGTATAAAATGGTGATATATGTATCTATTGCCATTTTTTAAATCAATAAATCTTGGCACTGATCAATGCGTGTTCTTATCCTGAAATGCTACACATTATTTATTTTTCAATGACGGAAGTTGATTTATTTCTAAATCTGGAAATAACCCCTTCACTACCAGAATCATATTTACATTGTTAATGTTCATTTTACATTATATAATAATGCATTGCAATATATCCCAGAGAGCCTCGCGTGCCTTCTTTATAGTCATTGATTGACGATATCAGAGAAAGAAATGTATCAGACACATCCCAAAATAAAACCCAGCTAACATGAAACAGTATAATATATAAAATCAGATAGGAGGTATATTGAATAATACAGAAGAAATAAGCAGACACTAGAGGGGCATCATAATCATCTATTGTATTATTACAGCTTAGTGTATTATTACAGCTCATTGTGTTATTACAGCTCAGTGTGTTATTACATCTCATTGTATTATTACAGCTCATTGTATTATTACAGCTCAGTATATTATTACAGCTTATTGTGTTATTACAGCTTATTGTATTATTACATCTCATTGTATTATTACAGCTCATTATGTTATTACAGCTTATTGTATTATTACAGCTCATTGTATTATTACAGCTCAGTATATTATTACAGCTTATTGTGTTATTACAGCTTATTGTATTATTACAGCTCAGTGTATTATTACAGCTCATTGTGTTATTACAGCTTATTGTGTTATTACAGCTCAGTGTATTATTATAGCTCAGTGTATTATTACAGCTCATTGTGTTATTACAGCTTATTGTGTTATTACAGCTCAGTGTATTATTATAGCTCAGTGTATTATTACAGCTTATTGTATTATTACAGCTCATTACAGTGTTATTACAGCTCATTGTATTATTACAGCTTATTGTGTTATTACAGCTCAGTGTATTATTACAGCTCATTGTGTTATTACAGCTCATTGTATTATTACAGCTCAGTGTATTATTACAGTTTATTGTATTATTACAGCTTATTGTGTTATTACAGCTCAGTGTATTATTACAGCTCAGTGTATTATTATTATGTTATTATTTATATAGCGACATCAAATTCCGCAGCGCTTTACAATGGGTGGACGAACAGACATGTAGTTGTAACCAGACAAGTTGAACACACAGGAACAGATGGGTTGAGGGCCCTGCTCAATGAGCTTACATGCTAGAGGGAGTGGGGTAAAAGGACACAAAAAGGTAAGGATAGTATTAGACTAGTGACAGTTGCGAGAGAGGAATCAGTCAGGAGCTATTAACAGTTTAATCGATACGCTTTTATGAAGAAGTGGGTTTTTAACGATTTTTTGAAGGAGTGGAGACTGGGTGAGCATCTAACGGAGGAGGGAAGTGAGTTCCACAGGAACGGTGCAGCCCTTCGAGAAATCTTGAAGGCGAGCATCAGAGGTGGGAGTACGGACAGAAGATAGACGTAAGTCTTCAGCAGATCGTAAGGGCCTAGACGGGACATACTTGTGTATAAGGGAGGATAGATAGGTGGGAGCAGCATTATGTAGAGATTTAAAGGCAAGAACCAGAATTTTAAATTGAGCTCTATATTTTATAGGAAGCCAATGTAGGGATTGACAGAAGGGTGAGGCATGGGAGGTGCGGGCGGACAGGAAGATGAGTCTCGCCGCCGCATTCATTATGGACTGTAACGGCGCAAGTTGGGAGCACGTAAGACGACTGAGAAGCGGATTACAATAGTCAAGGCGAGAAAGGACAGTGGAATGGACCAACACCTTAGTCGCATCTGGCGTTAAGTAGGGGCGGATGCGCGCAATGTTTTTTAGATGGAAATGACAGGATTTGGCGATAGATTGAACATGAGGCTTGAAGGAGAGGTCGGAGTCAAAGAGAACACCTAGGCAGCGAGCCTGCGTGGTGGAGCTGATGGTAGCACCGTTGACTTGGAGGGAGACAGACATAGGAGTAACAACACTTGAGGGAGGAAAGACCAGAATTTCAGTTTTGGTCAAGTTTAGTTTAAGGAGGTGGGCAGCCATCCAGTTAGAAACAGCAGAGAGGCAGTCAGAGACACTCGTCAAGAGGGACGGGGAGAGATCAGGAGAGGACAGGTAGATTTGTGTGTCATCTGCATAGGAATGATATTGGAAGCCAAAGGAGCAAATGAGTTTACCAAGGGAGGCAGTATAGATGGAGAACAGTAGGGAACCAAGGACTGAACCTTGGGGGACACCAACAGAGAGGAGTTGGGGAGAAGAAGCAGAGCCAGAGAAAGAAACACTGAAAGAGCGCTGGGAGAGGTAGGAGGAGCACCAGGAGAGAGTAGTATCTTGTAGACCGATATTGCAGAGGATAAGAAGAAGCTGTTGATGATCAACAGTGTCAAAAGCCGCAGACAGGTCAAGGAGAATTAGGATAGAGTAGTGACCACGAGATTTTGCAGCGAGTAGATCATTAGATACTTTGGTCAGTGCCGTTTCCACAGAGTGCTTAGCACGGAAACCAGACTGAAGCGGGTCTAGCAGAGAGTTGGACTCGAGGAAGTCTGTCAATCTCGCATACACAATTTTTTCAAGGATCTTGGATGCAAAAGGCAGTAGCGAGTATGGACGATAGTTGGATGGTGAGTTAGGGTCAAGATTGGGCTTCTTTAGAATTGGGGTTACAGTTGCATGTTTGAAGGGCAATGGAAATATACCAGAGGAGAGAGAGAGATTGAGAATTTTAGTGAGAGGTGGAGAAAGAGAAGAAGACAGAGTACAGATGAGATGCGATGGAATTGGATCTAGGGAGCAGGTGGTGGGGTGGGAGGCAGTGGCGTACACATGACCCATGGGGCCCCGGTGCGAAAATTGATCCGTGGGCCCCCCCAACGCAACACATGGCGGCAGGCACCTGGTCGCAGGGGTTGCAGGGCTGTGACCCCGCGACCGCGGTATGCACACACACTTATAGGACCACTACAGACAACCAGATCACATCAGCTCAATTAAGTGGTCTGGGTGCCAGGTCCCTCTAGATTTAACCCTGCAGCTGAAAACATAGCAGTTTCAGAGAAACGGCTATGTTTCACTGAGGGTTAATCCAGCCTCTAGTGGCTGTCTCATTGACAGCTGCTAGAGGAGCTTCCGCGATTCTCACTGTGAACAGAATCTGTTGATTGTAGAGATCTTGTCAGTGAAGTGAGTTGCAAAGTCTGAGGCGGTCAAGTTAGTAGGTGGAGGAGGAACAGCAGGGAAAAGAAGAGAGTTAAATGTGTGAAATAGTCGTTTGGGTTTGCGGGAGAGTGTGGTTATGAGGGTATTGAAGTAATTAAATTTTGCAGAGGAAAGAGCCAAGCTGTATTTGCAGGACACCCTATACAGGTACACCCTAATGCTGAACACCATATACACCCTAATAAAATATACACTAATGCTGCACACCCTAACACAGTATACCCCAATGCTGCACACCCTATACAGGTACACCCTAACCCAGTAAACCCTAATGCTGCACACCCTATACAGGTACACCCTAACCCAGTAAACCCTAATGCTGCACACCCTATACAGGTAGACCTTAATACAGTACACCCTAATCCAGTATACCCTAATGCCCCACACCCTATACAGGTACACCTTAATACTGTATACCCTAATTCAAGTACACCCTAATACAGTATACACTATGCATGTACTTGGGAGATAAAAAGTGTTTCTGTCCTCCCTGAGCCCTCATTGTATACCATTGTATAGAGGCTGCAATGGAGAGTACGGATATGACGTGATGCTCTAACCCTGCCACCTACTCACCAATCTGTCTTCAGTATACAGCTCAGTCAGGACACAGGAGATATGGAGTGAATATGTTATGGGAGAGGGAATAGCGGGGAGAAACCACAAGGGACAGACATTATGGAAGAGATTATGGGAAAATTGAAGGTGGGGGAGAATATGGAGAGTGTAGCAGAAAATGGTGGAGAGATGCGAAGGCCGAGACAGGCCGTGAGAGGGAGAATATGGAGTAAAATGAAGGTGTGGGGAGAGAATAAGGAGAGAGGGATATGGAAACAGTCAAAAGACAATGGTGGACAAAATTTGAAGAGAGGAACAGAGTGTATCTTTTCCCTCAACCCAGACTCTCTGTATGTCTTTCTCCCCCTTAAGATGTGTGCTTCATCAGACCCAACCCCTTTGTGTAATCCTTTCTCCCCTTTCCCAGTCCCTCTGTATATCTCTTCCCTCCTAGTCCCTTTGTGTGTCTCTTTCCCAGCCCCTCTGTGTATCTCTTGCCTCCTAGTCCCTTTGTGTGTCTCTTTCCCAGCCCCTCTGTATATCTCTTCCCTACTAGGCTCTTTGTGTGTCTCTTTCTCAGTCCCTCTGTATATCTCTTCCCTCCTAGGCCCTTTGTGTGTCTCTTTCCCAGCCCCTCTGTATACCTATTCCCTTCTTGGCCCTTTGTGTGTCTCTTTCCCAGTCCCTCTGTATATCTCTTCCCTACTAGGCTTTTTGTGTGTCTCTTTCCCAGTCCCTCTGTATATCTCTTCCCTCCTAGGCCCTTTGTGTGTCTCTTTCCCAGCCCCTCTGTATACCTATTCCCTCCTTGGCCCTTTGTGTGTCTCTTTCCCAGTCCCTCTGTATACCTATCCTTGGCCCTTTGTGTGTCTCTTTCTCAGCCCCCCTGTATACCTATTCCCTCCTTGGCCCTTTGTGTGTCTCTTTCCCAGCCCCTCTGTATACCTATTCCCTCCTTGGATCTTTGTGTGTCTCTTTCCCAGTCCCTCTGTATACCTATTCCCTCCTCGGCCCTTTGTGTGTCTCATTCCTAGCCCCTCTGTATATCTATTCCCTCCTTGGCCCTTTGTGTGTCTCTTTCCAAGTCCCTCTGTATATCTCTTCTGTGCTTGGCCCTTTGTGTGTCTCTTTCCCAGCCCCTCTGAATACCTATTCCCTCCTTGCCCTTTGTGTGTCTCTTTCCCAGCCCCTCTGTGTATCTCCTACTTCCTAGGCCCTTTGTGTGTCTCTTTCCCAGCCCCTCTGTGTATCTCCTCCCTCCTAGGCCCTTTGTGTGTCTCTTTCCCAGCCCCTCTGTATACCTATTTCCTCCTTGGCCCTTTGTGTGTCTCTTTCCCAGCCCCTCTGTGTATCTCTTCTCTCCTAGGCCTTTTGTGTGTCTCTTTCCCAGCCCCTCTGTGTATCTCTTCCCTCCTAGTCCCTTTGTGTGTCTCTTTCCCAGCCCCTCTGTATATCTCTTCCCTACTAGGCCCTTTGTGTGTCTCTTTCCCAGCCCCTCTGTATATCTCTTCCCTCCTAGGCCCTTTGTGTGTCTCTTTCCCACCCCTCTGTATACCTATTCCCTCCTTGGCCCTTTGTGTGTCTCTTTCCCACCCCTCTGTATACCTATTCCCTCCTTGGCCCTTTGTGTGTCTCTTTCCCAGCCCCTCTGTATACCTATTCCCTCCTTGGCCCTTTGTGTGTCTCTTTCCCAGCCCCATCTGTATACCTATTCCCTCCTTGGCCCTTTGTGTGTCTCTTTCCCAGCCCCTCTGTATATCTCTTCCCTCCTAGGCCCTTTGTGTGTCTCTTTCCCAGCCTCTCTGTATATCTCTTCCCTCCTAGGCCCTTTGTGTGTCTCTTCTACCCAGCTGTGTGTCTCTTTACCATTATGGAACACTTTACTTTGCAGAAAGGCTTTATGTGTGAAGAGTGATAATATGTTCACTTTACAAAAGGTTCAGATTTCAATCAAAATTGTCACTGTTATAAACAAACCTTATTTCAACCCCCCACCTGGCTGTCAATCGGACAACCATCCTGTTACTTCCTGAGTTGTTTAGCTCAGTGAAGATAAACTCAAAAGGCAGCAATTGTCCAGAGCACCTGCCTTGCAAAGACTTCTCATTGAGCTGCATTGGGAAGTCTGTGATTGGACAGCCACAGAAAGTCTGGGCGGGGTTAGAAGGGAAGGACTTGCAAATGCTGCAGACAAGAGATCTGCAGCTTTTACATGCTGTTTTTAGATATAGCATAGTAAAAAAATGCATAAATAGTTGCAAATATGTTCACATTTGGGGAATATCTACTGAACAGTGATTTTTATTTGGTATTTGGGCAGTGCAGTGTCCCTTTCTATTGTTTTTTAGACACAGTGAGCTTTACAGTTTCATTTTGTAATTAATTGACATTCTATTAATTAAACACTACTGCAATAATAACCTAAAAACAGACTGTGTTCTGAAAACAAACTTGAATAATATTCATTGCAACGCATTAGAACTGCGTAAACAAAAAATAAAACATAAATATTGGAAAGAAGTCAGACTTACACCATAGAATGCAATGAAAGATTGATAATGCCAAACGAGTCATTCATTTTTGGATAATATATAAATAAACAGATACAAATGTATACAATTAAATATAAATAAAAGTAAAAATAGAAATGTATTTGGAATTTTCAGCCCAGACACAGAGATGCCATTTAATCAATTCGGAGGGGTTTTACTGCAAGGCAGAGTCTCTCCTAACAGTCTCTGGCCTTTCCAGTCTCACCCAGATAGCAGGTGCCAGGCCTGAATTAACCCCTTCTTCATCTGATTAGAGAAAAAGAGGAAGAGCTCTTGCAGGGGCAGAAAAGGAAGGAGAGGAGGGGGCGATGAGGGGAGGATACTTTTTTTAAAAATTTTGATATAGTCATATAGGAGACTAAAAATCCACTATTTGTGTTACTTTCATTTAAAAAAAAAAAAAACTGAAAATTAAAGCAAATCACTTTCAGTTTCTGTTTATGTCATACTGATCCTGAGTCACACACCCATGTTATTTCTCTCTCCGGCTGCAATAAGGTAAGAATCCGGCTCACAATCTATGTGAGAAATTAGGGAGCCGTTAAGGCAGGGGTTCCCAACCCAGTCCTCATGTACCCTTCTACCAGTCCAGGATTTAGGGTTCACCCAGTTGTGTCTAAGGAGTTTTTAGGAAAGAAAAAGATAACACCTTAGACACCACAGGGTAATCCCTAAATCCTGGACTGGTAGGGGGTACATGAGGACTGGGTTGGGAACACCTGCATGAAGGTACCATGGGCCAATGTGGATTAGGCAAGTGCCATGTATTTAAATATCGCACATTATTATTTATCCATATCTGGGCAGATTCGGGCAGTTTTTCTATCTGTTTATTAAACCGCCCTCTCCCCTCCTCTGTAGGAGTCCTTGGGGCTAATATGACTCCAATATGATTTCATTTTATACATTTTATACACCACCAAGTGTATTTTCTGAACAGCGCTGCAAACACGTGTCAGGGATGTGGTTAGTCGAATAGTTTCCATGTTAGTATTTTGAACCTTTTTTAGAACACAGCACTTTGATGGATTGCCCCAATATGTCCTGTGTCTCCTCTTCTTCTCTGCACTGTCTCTGACCTGACAGGGAACGAGTATGGGGGGGACACTCATTTCCAGGAGAGAGGTAAACAGTGAGCTGGGAATTTCTACATTTTATTTTAAACTTACAAAAGTCAAATAAGTGTGTCTTATCAGATCTAAAACATGGCTGTTATTATGTTACAATCTAAAATAATAAACAAAAATATCTACATGCATGGAAATTAAATTCAGTGTTTGAATTTTCACACATCAAATGTCTTTATTATTGTTTTAAATCTTCCCACTTTCCTTTTCTGAGTTTGGGATTTGGTTAAAAATACATCATTATTGTGTATTTTATTTAAAGAAAAATGACCCAATCTTCCTGAGTACATTTAATTGTATTTATAAGATCTCACAAGCACAAACATTTGTTAAATATAGGGGATAATGAAACAACCAAATATAATATTCAAATCTTGTGACGTAACACGTCTCATTTACTTCCTTTCTGACCAACGACGAACAATGGATGGAGTAGTCAGAACTTGGTGGATAATAACGTAAAGATGGTTTTACAACGATCTGCAAAACCACCAAAGAAAATAGCCGTCTGGAGGTTCTGCTAGGCAATCGATCACTGGGACACTGTGCATTGTTAGGGTTAGAGTTAGCCTGGGCTAGAGAGTGCTGGCCTTAGGCTAGTTATAGTAGTTTGAGTAAGAGTTAACTACATTTACCTGGAGACAGAATACCCAAATTAACCATAAGACTTCTGAGGCAGCCATCTACTGTCCAAGGGTTCTATATCACTGGTAACCTTTACAGATCCCACTGGAAGGATATTCCAGGTATCCACTGTTACCGCTCCCACTGGAAGGCCATTCCAGGTATCTACCAACCTTTCTATATCACTGTTACTGCTCCCACTGGAAGGCTATTCCAGGTATCTACCATCCTTTCTATATTACTGTTACTGCTCCCACTAGAAGGCTATTCCAGGTATCTACTACCCTTTCTATATCACTGTTATTGCTTCCACTGGAAGGCTATTCCAGGTATCTACCAACCTTTCTATATCACTGTTACTGCTCCCACTGGAAGGCTATTCCAGGTATCTACCACCCTTTCTATATCACTGTTACTGCTCCCACTGGAAGGCTATTCCAGGTATCTACTACCCTTTCTATATCACTGTTACTGCTCCCACTGGAAGGCTATTCCAGGTATCTACTACCCTTTCTATATCACTGTTACTGCTCCCACTGGAAGGCTATTCCAGGTATCTACCTACCCTTTCTATATCACTGTTACTGCTCCCACTGGAAGGCTATTCCAGGTATCTACTACCCTTTCTATATTACTGTTACTGCTTCCACTGGAAGGCTATTCCAGGAATCTACTGCCCTTTCTATATCACTAATAATGCTCCCACTGGAAGGCTATTCCAGGTATCTACTACCCTTTCTATATCACTGTTACTGCTCCCACTGGAAGGCTATTCCAGGTATCTACTACCCTTTCTATATCACTGTTACTGCTCCCACTGGAAGGCTATTCCAGGTATCTACTACCCTTTCTATATCACTGTTACTGCTCCCACTGGAAGGCTATTCCAGGTATCTACTACCCTTTCTATATCTGTTACTGCTCCCACTGGAAGGCTATTCCAGGTATCTACTACCCTTTCTATATCACAGTTATAGTGCTCCCACTGAAAGGCTGTTCCTGGTATCTACACTATTATATTACTCTGTTTTCAATAGCAGATTGTAATAAAATGTGTAATATGTGTATTGGTTGTGAAATTCATTGTACTGTCTGTTTTATTTTTATTTATTCAGATTCCAGGACAATGTCAGCTAGTATAGAGGTAAGAGCTCACTGAGTGACTGCAATATGATGACCTGTGTGCATTTTATTAACTGCTTCCTTCCCGGTAACATGGATGCTCAAACTAATTTATCACTACGCATAGCACAACAACAAGCATGAAATACAGTATTTATACCATAAAGCCCCTTCACTAGCATTGCTGAGTAATGGAATTATTTCACTAGGCACGATTCCCCAGTTCTACATCTGGAGCTTTAAATCCTCTCATACATTACAGTAACCTGTTTAGGATAGAATTCACGGCTAGATTCCAGACGTCACAAAGGAGATAGGAAGGGGCACGATGAGTACACTACAGTGGATCCTTGCAGGATGCAATAACTTCTGATATCCTTTGTAGCAGAGATAAACGATATAACTGTACTTACTGTATGTAGCCATTAAACGCACATATTAATAAAACCTTCATCATTAATATCAGCTTTAATACTGTTTGAAATGTGTGTTTAGCAGTTACAACTTGGTTATGTGTTTTTACCCAGTTAAAATATAAAGTTTACGAGTGTGGTAACAGTTATCTAAACATGGAAGGTGTCTTGAAATGAAGTGCCACACATAATGAAAGTCACGCTGGTTAGAGCTAAGTTGGTGACATTTTCCTCAATTGTCATTTTTGCCCAAATTTTGGAATTTTACATTTTATTTCATAATTCGTCTAAATTTTGTAAATAATGTAGAAATATCTGGATTTACATCATTTAATTTCTTTATGTGTATCTTGGAACAAATCTGTGACCGTTTTATCGCATATTATCGTATGCGTTCTACTTCCCATATTTTAGATAAATGCTAATTAAAGATATATGTTTTATTTTAACAGTCAGGAAATTAAATTGGGAATAGTCCTTGTTGATTGAAGGCAGGATTAGTAATCACACAATGTGTCTCTGTGACTGATAATACTGATAATATCTGGCTTGTATCTTTTATTCTCTTTGTAGAATTATATTTTTACAATAATCGATGTGATGTTATTCCCTTTTTATCTGCTGGGGAAGCTGTTCATGTGTATCATCCTGTATATAAATAAGGTAAACTATCACCTTAGTAGTTGCTGCCTTGTGTCTATAACTCTCTATAATAATATGTCAGAAGTCCATTTAACCACTTAGTAGTTACCGTAGGATGAGTCATAATGCTTTATAAGCTTAGTTTATTTCTTTATACCCAGTTTATGAGCCAGGTAACATGCAGCCATTGTCAGAGTTACACACTGCACAAATATACTCCATATCTCAGATCGCTTTCCGAGGAGGTGAAAAAGGTGAGTCCCACCTGTGCATACAGTATAGTGACGCACAAAGGAGAATAGAAAGGGGTCAGCTTATTGTTGTTATGGGGCTTAGAGTGATTTTTAACTCCACAAATACAGTCCTGACACCTCCTGCGTGTTATTCTATAAACCCCAGTCTGGCCGTATCTGGAACCGGAACGGTAACATCGCCAGATGAACACTTTATTCAGATCCAAACAGGAAAGGGCTTAATTCGACTAATTTAACCTCTTTATTACAGAAAGTTAATCTGCTTCTATACACTGACAAATAACGGGTTAAAATGCGATATATTCAGTTCTGTATGATTAGCTTTCTTCGTCCGCAGAATACGAACCGTTTGATCCTAACCCTGTATTTACATAGACGATCCTTATTTTTGTGTTGCTTTACACTATATTAATGAAAGAAAAAGAATTGAGTTCCCTAATAGAAGTTTAAAATGTAACCTTTATTTTCTCAATAAAACTAAATCGACAGAATAAAATGAAACCGTTATATTTGGTAACAATGGCGCTTTAGTGCTCAAAGTGATGATTAAAAAGCAGGGTCTGCATTTGATAAGTGAGTTAGCCTGCCGAGTTTCTAAGTGTCACTGGCAAGTCGGTTACAATAAATGTATCGGGATACAGCTAGTAATGTTTCCTAGGTGAGATGCCACAGTTGTTATAGTTACTAGTGCATAATTATACCTAGGGTTGCAAATAATGTATCAATATATCATTAATGCTATTTGTAAGATTCAGTAAACACAGTTGTTGTTAATCACAGAATAAAATGATATCTGTTTGTTGCATGAGACATATCTATTTGTGCTCGTTTGGGGTGATCTGCTGCCTCTTAGTCTTATACACCTTTGTTTAATTAAATTAAACAATTTGTTATAACATTAACAAGTGTGATGAAAAATTCAGACAGAAAAATATTATTAATATATATGTGGAGATAGGATTTTAGATCGTGGTCAGACAGTTATATACTAATCTCTTACGATGCAGATCGATACGTGAGAAAAAAGACAAACTGCTATAGTTACTTAAACTTCTGCCCTGCCTAACGGTATAGGAGAAGGAAGGCAGGCTGCCGCAGCCATCCACTACCCTCCCAGTAAAGTAATACTTCCTGATATTATTTTTAAACCTTTGCCCCTATAATTTAAGACTATGTCCTCTTGTTGTGGTAGTTTTTCTTCTTTTAAATATAAGTTTTATTCTGCAATCCATGAACCAGTTTAGTAGCCCTTCTCTGAACCCTCTCTAAGGTATCAATATCCTTCTGAAGATACGGTCTCCAGTGCTACATACAATACTCCAAGTGAGGTCTCACCGGTGTTCTGTACAATGGCATGAGCACTTCCCTCTTTCTACTGCTAATACCTCTCCCTATACAACCAAGCATTCTTCTAGCATTTCCTGCTGCTCTATTACATTGTCTGCCTACCTTTAAGTCATCAGAAATAATCACCCCTAAATCCCTTTTCTCATATGTTGAGGTTAGAACTCTATCAAATATTCTGTACTCTGCCCTTGGGTTTTTACGTCCAAGATGCATTTTCTTGCACTTATCCACATTAAATGTCAGTTGCCACAATTCTAGTTTACCTAAATCATTTGCCATGTGGCTTCTCCCTCCTGGAATATCAACCCTGTTACATATCTTAGTATCATCAGCAAAAAGACATACCTTACCATCAGGACCTTCTGCAATATCACTAATAAAAATATTAAAGAGAATGGGTCCAAGTACAGATCCCTGAGGTACCCCACTGGTGACAAGTCCAAGCTTCGAATATATTCCTTTAACTACAACCCTCTGTTGCCTGTCACTCAGCCACTGCCTTACCCATTCAACAATATTGGAATCCAAACTTAAAGATTGCAGTTTATTGATAAGCCTTCTATGTGCAACAGTGTCAAAAGCCATGTATACAGAGAAGCTCCTGTATAATCAGAGAGAGATATTTAAAGTAAGTGTTTCCTTTCCTTGGAGCACTTTGTGGTTGATTGCACATATTGTTGCACTGTGTATTGTCTGCATTTTGTACATGAAACAAATACCACTCTGAAACGCGCTTTTTAAAGTTACACTTTACATTTGTTGTACTTTAGTTGCATATTTGTTTTCAAGGTACAGCGCACCTTCTTTTCTGGTTTTTATTTTTGGGAGTGTACTTTATATGGGCTGTTACACTGTGTAGGTGCAGCTTTTTTATATGGTTTTTATTTTGTATAATTCACTTGTTTTTTAGACATATTTTGGGGAATTATTACCTTTTTGTGTGTTTCATGTTCTGTTTTCTCACTAATATTTCAAATGGTGCAAGGAAAGGGATACAATATAATTCATACAATGTTTTACCTCTCCCACATCCTTTATAAGATGTAAGAGTAGGTAAAAATATTAAAATTGCACATGTTTACAAAGCTGTCATTTTCTTATCCCTGAATATCAAGCCATACAAACAGATATGTTTTGCCTTATGTTTATTTCTTTGCTCCACGTTCTCAGTATCAGTCTTATCCTATTGTTATTAAGAAGCTATTAGACCGAGTCGTGTTAACGATTTTTTTTCTGTTTGTATTCTGTCCCCGGCAGGTCTGTTGTTGTGCTCCTAACACGCTCGATGGGCAAGTCTGTTGTTCGGCTCCTAAGCCTCTTGTTGTTGGAATCTTCTCTCGGTCAGCAGAGGAGAACTACCAATGGCTGGGGGAAAGACTGAGATTATTTAAAGATTCGGTTAAAGAAATAAGAAATTGTTACATTGGCAATAGTGGATTTCGTACATTCACCAAGGAGGTCGATCAATGCCAATTTGCGATCCTGTATCACACAAAGAATCACGGGAGGGTTAACATAACTAATGTAACAGACTCGATTTATGATAAGGAACTCAAATACCTATCCGATACACTGGGTAAGTACAGAGCATACTGGGTAATTGGCACGATTCTATATATCCCAGTACCCCAAATAACAAGAACTATACAGTCACTAGGATGTCATATTTCCCATAATGCTCCTTCTTTTTTTCTTTGAAGCATATCTACCAATGAGTTTAAACTCTCTTTTTCTCGCTGTGCTATAAGTAGTAAGTAGTTCTGTATTACATTCCTCGTGCTAAATCTTTAAGGGAGCACTAAAAGCATTAAAACAACTTTAGCTTAATGAAGCAGTGTTGGTGTATAAATCATGCCCCTGCAGTTTCACTGCTCAATTCTCTGCCATTTAGGAGTTAAATCACTTTGTTTATACAGCCCTAGCCACACCTCCCCTTGCTGGGACTCACACGGCCTCCCCAGAAATTTCTTTAAAAAGTGTCAAAATGTTTTAGCTTCTCTTATCACACAGTGTGTTTTATTTATATATATAATTGCTCTGTTAATATGTTACTAGAGCAAGCATCAACCTCCTGTGTGTGATTAAAGTTTATATACAAATTAGGAGGCAAGAGCTTCTAAGATAAACACACGGTGCTGTAAGATAAGATTGATATTCAAAACAATTTAAGCAGGCCGTGTGAGTCACTGCCAGGGGATTAGGGCTATATACACAGAATCAAAATATTGTGACTCCTAAATGGCAAAGGATTGAGCAGTGAGACTGTAGGGACATGATTTATACACCAAAACTGCTTCATTAAGCCAAAGTTGTTTAGGTGACTATAGTGTCCCTTTAGTAAAAATCTAAAGGCTTTGTGACAAACTTACCAAGGACCCATGTCACAATATCTCTTTACATTGATACATATGTAGGGAATGGGATGTTTACAATGAGGTTTATTCACACATATTGTTAAGTCAGTAATGAAATAATCAAATTTCCAAGTTTTGAGCCAATATCGCCAATTAGAAGAATTCTACCACTCCACTGTTGTCATAGCTTGATTATTGGACCCTGAATTCACTGCATACAATTTACTGTTTAGAGAATAAACCCCCGGAGATGGTCACTAGACCGGTTATTGGAGAGAATTGGGAAGGAGGTAACTCATTGTAAGCTGGAATTCCGGAATTAGGACTGGAGCTCCGATACAGGGACATTGTTTAACGCAGCCATAATGACTTAAATATGGCGATTATTTATTGAATAAATTACTATTTTTGGATACGTTAATTCTGCTAAGGAGCGTCCATCGACCCAAGCTGGATGATGTGAATTAGACAAAGAAAGACAATGAGTCTGACTACATGTGTGTTTTATACAAACCAAGAGAAAGAAACAATAAGGTCACAAGAAGCGAGAGCTCTCAGTGTTTGTCACAGATTATTATTATTAATAATATTATTTATGGAACATATTTGTCGAAAGTGTAAATAAAGCAGAAATTGATTAACAAGATAAACTGACAGAACCAAGAGAGGTAGAGGGCTGTCCAGCTTCCCTGAGTTCATAAAATCTCTGCTTTGCAGGTCGAGGGAAAGTCATTGTGGTGATTGATGACCTGGACAAGACCGACTTTGAGCAGAAATCCCGTATCCTGCGAGAACAGCAAAATATCGCTGATCAGGCCGCAGAGCTGTTCCTTATCAGCCCACACGACAAGATAAACCCACAACTATTAGACAAAAAGTTACAGCAGATAGGAGAGCACATAAATGCAGGTACCTGCTGTATCCACATGGGGGCAGCCATGAGGCATATTAAATAACTCGCTCAGAGATATTAATACATTAGTAACATTTTATTACAATATTTCTAGGAGATAAAACACCATCAAGGTTTGCATGAGAAACATGAAAACTTAACTCAGTGTGATATTGGCAAACAAAATGAATCCCTGCACTCAAACTCTCACTACTCCTAGGCAGCAATGACCATAGTAGACATCAGTCCCAATACATACAATAAAAAACAAAGAAAAGAGTTACTTGCCCACTATCCCAAATCCCTATGTGTATTTACACAAATGGAAGGTTTTAGTATCACTCCAACGGCCATTTAAACTCACCTGCCACGTCAAGGCAAACCGCTTCGGTGGGTCCTACACTGACCATTCACGGTGCTTCCTTCAGCTTTAGCCAAAGTTATCTCTAATGAGACAGAGAGGGTTTTGTTATATAAACCCCTACATACTTATTAACCCTTAATAGGGAACACAGCATCGGAACATTGTAACCGCTCGTACCCCTACTTACCACGATAACGTCTTAAAGCATAGAATTTAGCAGGGCTAACCGGACAGATATCTTAGCCATAATATTACAGAGTTCGTAAGAGATCCTCTAGTTAAAATACATAAATAATTAGAAAACAATGAAAATAGGGAATTTGAAACAATAACCTCTTGTCTTTATAAAATATTTTATTGAATATAAATGAATATACATCAATGAATATAGACATATAAAAACGTAATAATCCATTAATATTTCATTAAGAAGGGTATGAATGTGTGACATGTCATGATTCCCTTTTATTCCAGAAATTTGGTCAATAAGGGGTTAATCTTTATTTGGACTAGAAGTTAGGTTGATATTTGCATTATTTTGGACAAGATGGTGTAAACATATTTTGCACTGAAGGTAGGTACGAGGTTATTAATTAAAGAAACAGTTGCAGTTTAAAGAAATGCAATTTATCAATGTGTATAACACCTACAATTGCCCATCACAACATGGCTGTGCAATACAAAAACATATACACTAAAATACGTCCTGTGCTCTAACTCCCACTACTTCTGGGTAGCAGCTGTAATGACCATAGTACACATCAGTCCTAAAACATACAATAATATCCCACACATTTGCATAACTAGAGGTTTGTTAGTGCGTTGAAATGACAGGTGAGATTACACTTTGATGGCCATTGGAGTGATATTTAAAACCTCCAGCAATGTAAGTGTGCATGGGGATTTGGGATAGTGTGCGAGTAACTCAGTGTGATACTGGGCCCATTAGTTCTGCCAGACCTGAAGGGAAGGGAAAATGTCATGTTTTTAGCTCTTGGATATTATTTTTGCATTTACACATTCACACATTGATACATTAATACATTCACAAATTGATACATTGTACACACTGATTCATTCACACATTGATACATTAATACATTCACACATTGATACATTGTACACACTGATTCATTCACACATTGATACATTGATACATTCACACATTGATACATTGATACACACTGATACATTCACACATTGATACATTGATACACACTGATACATTCACACATTAATACATTGATACACACTGTGACAGATCCATCTGTAAAGACTAAGATTGCTGGTTCGTCTGTTTTACCTTGTTCGTGGAATTACCCGTTCGTATGCCCCTGTTCAGTGAATTGACTTTTCCGCCGAACAAAACTACCGAATGGACGGCCACCCAGAAGAGAAGTGTGCTGCTGGTTAACCTCTTGATCCCAATTAGAACGTTGTGGTTAACCGCAGACACTTCTCAATTAAACCCGAATACAGGGTGGTCGTCGTTCGTATGTCGACCACGAGGCGGCGGCCTTTTTAAACCATGCGAAAGACCAGCAGTGCTCGGCATTGATTTCATGGAACTGAAAATGGACACTTTTTCTGTCGAACACCGCTGAAGCCGCCGACCTCCCTTCCTAATCGACAGAAGGATGCGAAACACCGGCCGTTCGGGAGATTTACACACATGAATGGACTTACCCCAGATAGCCATCCCATGGAGTCAATCGCATACCGAAAGACTGTAATAGACTTTGACTCCATGCCGATTGAACTATGCGTATGGGATCTGAGCGCTATTTGCCAATAATATGCACTCAGTTCCAAGCTATCTGGGGATATGTGATACCAATGGGTAGCATTCGACAATGTAAAGTTATGGATTTTTATATGTTTTGCTGTGTTGAATTTAAAATGGCGATTTGCCTCTGTCCTGCAGATAATTGAATTTCTTCTCAATTATCTCCAGGGCAAAGGGGAGGGAATTCTCATGCATTGTGGGAATGTTCTGTGTCTGTGGGTCCTGACTTGCCATATGTCTGTCTATTGTCACAGTCTCCCATTTGGTCCCCTAGGGGAGTGTCCACCAAGTGGGAGACCTGCATAAATACGGGCAGGTAGCCCACAGTAAAGCCAGTTCTTGTTTTACCCACAATGCGGAGCTTGGTCTCGTTATTGGGGGGATTTATTACCGACGACTAGAGACTGCTGGATGGGATTATTAGCCGCTTGGGAGATATACGCGTTCGGCTAATATTGGCGGTTCGTGAGTTTGGAGCTCGTGGAGTGAAGTGCCCGTACGGATCCTGTTCGTGAGTTTACAGTGTTCCCCGGCTTGCGGTTCGCATGATTGTACTGGATACGCATGCAGCCTATGCTATTGCGAGAGGGGAGCATTCACTAAACGGCGGTTTGTACATTTAATGCTGAGGGTACCGTAACACACACTGATACATTCACACATTGATACATTGATACACATTGATACATTCACACATTGATACACACTGATATAGTCACCCATTAATACAGTCTCACATTCACACATTCACACATTAATACATTCACACATTAATACAGTCACACATTGATACATTGATACATACTGATACATTCACACATTAATATATTCACACATTGATACACTGATACATTCTCACATTGATACATTCTGTCATTCACACCTGCGCATTAATGCAGTCACACATTTACACATTGATACATTCACACATTGATACATTCACACATTAAGTATTCTCACATTAATACATTCACACATTGATACATTCACACATTGGCACATTCACACAGGTCTTATGTTCTGATTGTGATAACTGGTATTGTGTAATATTCTGTTATGTCCATATATTCCTGATAACGTGTGTGACCTGTTCTCTGTGTTTTGGCAGGTGCCGAGGATCTCTGCTGTGTTATGGTAAGAGCAGACTGTATGTTGGTCCATATGGAAAGTGTTTTACCATGTGAGCGATGACTAAAACCGAGGTAACCAGGGCATGGACACTTGTCTGGCTAGATATATCTTCTGCTGCGATCCTGACCATATTGAGATGTTTGGCGAGTATGGAAGGAGGTTATGGAACATTGTAAACACTAAGCATTCCCTGGCCCCATACCGGGATTAGTAATCAAGGGTAAAAACAGTTGCCAAGCACTGATCTCCTCCTCCTCCTGTGTCCCCACAGCTCCTGCATTGATCCAAGCCTGTCATTGCAGGATTTATCTCGTTGGTAGAGTGCTGGCCCAGCATGGCATGGCTCAGGGAAGCTAATAAAAACAGAGAGGAGCCAACTCTCAGCCGATCCCAGCTATGACTGTGTACCCTGGAATGGTGTCAGGGCATTCCTGGCACCATAACTACTTCAGTGGCCTGCAGTGATTACGATGCTCTGAGTTTTCTATTTAAAAGTATTTTGATACAATATGAAAATGTTAAATGGCCAAGACTCAGACAAGCAGCAAAAGAAGTGCTTTGAGTATTCCTTACTGAGCACAAATATTTAAAGCAGACGCCAGACACTAGACTCCCAAAATGTCCAAACATGCGTTTAGTCAGCCGGATAGGAATGGCTGTTGTATTGTTTGTTGTGTAATGTAATAAAACATCAATTTAATCAGAAATTGAATGACATTTAGATGGTGCAACTCTCCCTCTAGTAACGTCAGTGAGGGCAGGGGGTGATTCTCAGCCCAAAGCAAGGGTTCCAGGTTGGGTAATGTCGATGCTTTGCATAATTCTATGACAGAAGGTTATTCATTGGCTGAGAGAAGTCAGCTGATGCTCTTGTCCAATGAATGGTAATGAGCACCCGGCTTCGGAAGCTCTGGAGATGTCGGATGCTGTCACTGACCAGATGGCATCTGGTAAAGACCCCTGTGAGAGAGCAAACCATTGCAAAACAGTTGGCCTTCATTACTGGGAAACGGGGCCAGAGTACTCCTTACACCATAACCACTACAGAACCCGTTAGTAGTTGTGATGTTGGGAGTAACCTGTTATGGTGAAGTGTTCTGTATTAGTGAGCAATATGACACGTTCCCAGGAAACCAAAACATTTCTCAGACTTTACAAGAGGAGGAAGACCTTTATTTGAGGAAGATTTAGCCCATGACACTCTTGTTTTTGTGTTTTTCAGGATCGCTGTAGGTCCCAGGATGTAAGTTACCAGGTACGTATGGCGTCAGGAGGCCAGGTTTGTCCACTGGAAAGCTGAGTAGCAAACCACAGCAAACTCCTGTTTAGGACGGACAGTCCTTATTTAAAAAAATTACCCTCAATACCCTCAGTTCATCTTTTCTCTTTTCTAGAATCTCCATATTGTTGGTGTGTCTGAGTGTATAACAGAGCTCCACAGTAATAATACTCCCAGTAATGTGTCTGAGTGTATAACAGAGCCCCACAGCAATAATACTCCCAGTAATGTGTCTGATAATACTCCCAGTAATGTGTCTGGGTATAACAGAGCTCCACAGCAATAATACTCCCAGTAATGTGTCTGAGTGTATAATGGAGCTCCACAGCAATAATACTCCCAGTAAAGTGTCTGAGTGTATAACAGAGCTCCACCGCAATAATACTCCCAGTAATGTGTCTGAGTGTAAAACAGAGCCCCACAGCAATAATACTCCCAGTAAAGTGTCTGAGTGTATAACAGAGCCCCACAGCAATAATACTCCCAGTAAAGTGTCTGAGTGTATAACAGAGCTCCACAGCAATAATACTCCCAGTAATGTGCCTGAGTGTATAACAGAGCTCCGCAGCAATAATGCTCCCAGTAATGTGTCTGAGTGTATAACGGAGCTCCGCAGAAATAATACTCCCAGTAATGTGTCTAAGTGTATAACGGAGCTCCACAGCAATAATACTCCCAGTAATGTGTCTGAGTGTATAACAGAGCTCCACAGCAATAATACTCCCAGTAATGTGTCTCAGTGTATAACATTGCTCCACAGCAATAATACTCCCAGTAATGTGTCTGAGTGTATAACAGAGCTGCACAGAAATAATACTTCCAGTAATGTGTCTCAGTGTATAACAGAGCTCCACAGCAATAATACTCCCAGTAATGTGTCTGAGTGTATAACAGAGCTGCACAGCAATAATACTTCCAGTAATGTGTCTGAGTGTATAACAGAGCTCCACAGCAATAATACTCCCAGTAATGTGTCTGAGTGTATAACAGAGCTCCACAGCAATAATACTCCCAGTAATGTGTGTCAGTGTATAACAGAGCTCCACAGCAATAATACTCCCAGTAATAAACCATGGCACAGAGCTCCACAGCAATAACACTCCCAGGTAATGTGTCTGAGTGTATCACAGAGCTCCACAGCAATAATACTCCCAGTAATGTGTCTGAGTGTATAACAGAGCTCCACAGCAATAATACTCCCAGTAATGTGTCTTGAGTGTATAACAGAGCTCCACAGCAATAATACTCCCAGTAATGTGTCTGAGTGTATAACAGAGCTCCACAACAATAATACTCCCAGTAATGTGTCTGAGTGTATAACAGAGCTCCACAACAATAATACTCCCAGTAATGTGTCTGAGTGTATAACAGAGCTCCACAGCAATAATACTTCCAGTAATATGTCTGAGTGTATAACAGAGCTCCACAGCAATAATACTCCCAGTAATGTGTCTGAGTGTATAACAGAGCTCCACAGCAATAATACTCCCAGTAATGTGTCTGAGTGTAACAGAGCTCCACAGCAATAATACTCCCAGTAATGTGTCTGAGTGTATAACAGAGCTCCACAGCAATAATACTCCCAGTAATGTGTCTGAGTGTATAGCAGAGCTCCACAGTAATAATACTCCCAGTAATGTGTCTGAGTGTATAACAGAGCTCCACAGTAATAACACTCCCAGTAATGTGCCTGAGTGTATAACAGAGCGCCACAGCAATAATACTCCCAGTAATGTGTCTGAGTGTATAACAGAGCTCCACAGCAATAATACACCCAGTAATGTGTCTGAGTGTATAACAGAGCTGCACAGCAATAATACAGCTGAGTGTATAACAAGCTACTCCCAGTAATGTGTCTGAGTGTATAACAGAGCTCCAGCAATAATACTCCCAATGTGTCTGAATGAGCTCCACAGTAATACTCCCAGTAATGTGTCTGAGTGTATAACAGAGCTCCACAGCAATAATACTCCCAGTAATGTGTCTGAGGGTATAACAGAGCTCCACAGCAATAATACTCCCAGTAATGTGTCTGAGTGTATAACAGAGCTCCACAGCAATAATAGTCCCAGTAATGTGTCTGAGTGTATAACAGAGCTCCACAGCAATAATACTCCCAGTAATGTGTCTGAGTGTATAACAGAGCTCCCCAGCAATAATACTCCCAGTAATGTGTCTGAATGTATAACAGAGCTCCACAGTAATAATACTCCCAGTAATGTGTCTGAGAGTATAACAGAGCTCCACAGCAATAATACTCCCAGTAATGTGTCTGAGTGTATAACAGAGCTCCACAGCAATAATACTCACCCAGACCAGCTAATTATAAACTGGACATTTGTCTTCTTATGTTTTGAATGTATTTAGTAGTAAAATCATCAGCAAAAAAAACGAGTAAAACATTTAAGAGGAATGAATTGTGTTCGACGGATTACAGAAATACTGTAAAAAAGATGAAAAATTCATTAATTTATGAAGGGCAGAGTAACCGTTTCATACCTGTCGCAGAGAATGATAAAGAGATACCGGTTAGTTCTCCTGTACAATCGGTGCAGGTTGTTTGTGAACTCTTGAGTCATTCTGATCCAATAAATATCTGTGTATTTTCTATTGCAGCAATTCTATGTCTGAAATAATCATTCAATGAATTGAGGAAACTTCCATTGAACATCTAGACCAGGCAGAACCCTCAGGATCTTGCATCCCATCACATGATCAGAAGGTCTACACAAGCTCACGGCCACTGTCCGGATACTATTGGACCTTTCATATTAATATTTCAGCATCTGACAGACGGACAGAAACATACCTCATGGCCGTCTACACGCTGACACGTCCTCTGTGACCAGCTCTGTATAATGAATGTGTTCGTCATCCAGTCCCAATTATTACTGTCACAGCTTCATGTAAATATCTTTTTAATGATTTTATTTCCAATAAACTGATTATTGAATAATTTGTCACTTTAAAACGTACTGTCTAGGGCGTGGCTAGGTGCCTGAACTGGATGGACGCACGTTGGTGAAGCTCCCGATATTCAGGTGTTCAGGAGCATAAATAATCAGTCTACCGAGCATTTACACACGTAAAAACATGTACCATGTCGCAGAGACAAAAAAGCAAAGCAGCTAAAGCAGAACAAACGTCTTTCTTCCTGGCATGGACCACCGGAACAAAACTGCGGGAAGGCCGCAGCCCTCCTAAAGATAGCTACGCAACTCGATCCCGAAAAGTATCATTATCGCCCCTGGCCTCACCTAGCTCTGTCTGAGAGGAAAAAACCCTCACAGCAACTACAGAAACGTTACAGGCAAATATGAAATCGCAGCTGCAGGCACTGGCGTCAGAGCTCCGCAAAGACATCACGGAAGTATGCCAGCGCACATCTCAAATCGAACACAAGATGGATTATTTGGTAGAGGCCCACAACAGTTTGGGAGATAAGGTCCAAGACCTTAAGAGTCACCTCAACTCCTACAGGCTTAAGCTAGCAGACCTCAAAGACAGGTCCAGTGTAATACCGGATCTCAACAATTACCTGATGGATCTGTTCCAGGCCCTCACCCCTGCAATTCACCCAGACCAGCTAGTTGTAGACAGGGCACACAGGCTCAAATGCCCGAAACACCTTACACCGACAGCCATGAGGGATGTTATTACCCGAGTTCACTTTTTCCATGCCAAAGAGAAACTGGTGAGAGCTAGCAGAATTTCCGACATGCCAGACCTCTATGGCTAGATAAAGATATTTGCAGACCTGTCTGCAGCAACGTTACAATTCCGGAAGAATATGACACCCATTACATCCATGCTGCAGGATCAAAACATCGCCTACAGATGGGGATACCCTGCTAAGCTACTGGTCCATCACAGAGAAGCCATGCACGCCATCACATCCTTGGGAATCATCAAATTGAAAGACTGTGGCCTCCCAGTACCAGCAGCGCAGCAGCGTCAACCAGCTAAAGTTCCCAGAATGTCTCCAGAATGGACTTTACCGTGACAACAGTGATGGCTACCCACCTCCACGAGGTTGGAACCTTCCTGTGCATCCTTTCTTGTGCGGTACAGTAGACTTTTAGGGCCCAGGGGTACCACAATATCCCTACCTACCGGTTAAATGTGTTTATGATTATGTTTAAGTTTAATGTGGTCGAATGCCATACATGGTTAACGCACATGATGTATCCCCCATGATATACACAAAGGAGCTGCCGCTCAGTTGCTAATGTTGATTGCGCTACCCATGGTAATTGTGACGGACCACCTGGCACCCCGAGCAGGTACCTCCGTCTATCGCTACTTCCTAGTACTTGCGAGAACCATAATCCCTGCACTGGAACACCATAACCACTGTAGACCCCACGAACCGCTGCAGCTTGGTTGGGGTCTCGTCGTCCTCCATCCCTGGACCCAAGACCAGGATCCAGCTTCAAGTGGGTAGACCTCTCCTAGTCCAGAGAGCGTAGCAGGAACAGGGGACAAACCGCAGAACTTCTGCCCACAGTCGCTGTGGCTTGACTGGGGCCCTGAAACCGACACCTCCTTCCTGGAGCCGAATGGGGAATTAGCTCTGACACCCCCAGACACTGGACGACACTCAGTCCTGGGAGCTCTGGAACCGAATGGGGAATTAGCTCTGACACCCCCAAACACTGGACTTTCCCCATTTAATCCCCTGCAAGCTGGAACAGCAGACACAGGAGTAATACTTCTCCAATAACAGGACGGCACAGTTTTGGAGTGTAAGCTGCAATAGCAGTTTAATGGAGGCACACTGCCTTTTATATAAGTTTCCCACCAAGGGTGATACCCAGGTGGACCTTGTTGGGCACAGGGTCACAAACTTCCAAACCAATAGAAACACATTTACAATGTAAGGCACTCCCACACAAGGCAAACAATCCCTCCCTCTACCTGGGAGATAATTGCGTTAATTACTGTATCAACTCAATTATCTCCAGGCAGAAAAAAACACAAAAAAAGTCTAAAAAGTCCCAAAAGTACCCCATAACACAACATATCCCAACATATCACATCCCCTGATACTCACATCCAGGCTACTCTAGGAACTTGTGGCAAACTCGCTTTTTGTCACAGTAATATTCAAGGTGTTTCTACGATGCACAATAAGTGGCTTCTGAGCCCTCTGCTATCACTTCATCCCAGAAGCGTTACAAAGCTCCGCCCTACCATTATCGCTGAGCTACTTATCTTACGATGAGGCTTAGCCCCACCACCCCCACCATTTGCGACTGAGACCTTCTCGGTGCACCTTAGCTCCCAGTTGGAGAGCTGCATGGGGGCAAGTTGCCCACGAGTTTACTACCCCCACCAAGTTTATTCCCTATGTATATCCCCCTACCCCTCCTATCCCAATGATCGCAGACTACCTTTCTTAAAACCCACCAACCAAGGGGGCCCCTCAGAGTTACCTCATAGAGTATGGACCATAAGATACAGCAGATGACCTGAGAGGCCTTTACAGGAGCCCTCATCATAAGCTGACACACTTTAGGCTTGAGACAACATGAAATTTGTTTCTTATAACGTAAAAGACTTAAATACCTTTCGAGACTTAACCAAACAAGGAGTAGATAAAGCCTACATAGCCTACATACATGACCACACCCCGGCCATATTCACCAAGAAATACCCCATACAAGTTCACTCACTAGCCAGCACCAAATCTAAAGGAGTCTGAATCTTGATCCATAAAGACGTAGCCTATACTTCCCAGTGACAATATATAGACCCTGGTGGAAGGATATGTCATCTTGGTAGGCCAGTTTAACAGCACCCAACTGACACTAGTTGCAGCCTACTTTCCAAATGAGAACCCCAGAAACTTCCTGCAATCACTCCTGGGTAAGGTGTTCTCCAGAGGGACCACTGACCTAAGCAGAGATAATTATATCAGGGTCGGGAATGACCGTAAGCAAATCCTAGCAAAATGGGGCCCCCTTTTCCTTACATGGACTGAAAGGATAGTGGCAATTAAGATGTGAATACTCCCAAGATTACAGTACGTCTTCCAAACCCTACCACTGTTTATGCCACAGTCCTACTTCAAAATTGTCCAAAGAGATATAACCAAACTTATTTTGGCGGGAGGGAGACCCAGCATATCCATGAAACTCCTGAGAACATCAATTAGGGCAGGTGGCCTTGCAGTCCCGGATGTTCGCACCTACGACTACGCATCCATACTAGCATCAGCAATACCACACTTTGTAGATCAATCTCCCCCCAAAGAGTTAAAATGCTATGGCTGCCTAAACCCCTCAAACCCCCCTCTACATATGACTCCAGCCCAGGTATCCTTGCTGATACAAGTACAGTGGGACCTTGGTTTACATATTTAATGCGTTCTCCGGGACGTTTCTTATTGCGAAACATTTGTAAACTGAAACGCGGTTTCCCATAGGAATGCATTGAAAACCAATTAATCCGTTCTGGAGGTCAGAAAAATGTCAAAATGAGCTGGCATGTAAACCAACCCACAACGCAGAACACCCAATAAAAGGCATGCAAACGACAAAGATCAGCTTTCCACAGCTCCACAACTTGAGAAATGCACCAAAAAGTCCCAAAACAACTAAAAACTATTTCCAGAATGGCTCCAAAACTCGATGCAAAAGCCGCTCCAACACCTTGATGCCACGTGCTACCCACAGACGGCAGCATGCAGGGGGCGGCGCTATAAACCTCCCAGGTGCAATGCATCCTGGATAAATTTGCTTTGTATTGCAAAAAAATGTGTAAACCGAGGCATTATTTTCAATGCATTTTTATTTGTAAACCGAAAATTATGTTAACCGAGGCGTTTGTAAAGCGAGGTCACACTGTATGGGATACACACAGATGCAGGCTGAGCAGCAGTAATTGAATCTCCCAGCCATCCCCCATAGCAACCTTCACGTACTGCATTCCCACCTTTTATGCTAAGGAAAGGCTTCACCCACTTGACCCACTTCTACTCAAGGGCACAGCTTCAAGACTTTCACTCCCTCCAGACAATCCATAGTATTCCGCAAACCTCACACTTTTCCTACAGTCAACTGCAATCATTTTTACACAAAAATGACATACATGGTGCCCTTTACCCAACGACTGCTGACCACGGCAGGTGCAAGGATTTCTGCCACCCTAGGCAAAGATCCATTTTGCCGCCCCCTCATGTCACTAATTATTGGCAGACACACACTGACAGACACACACACTCACTGACAGACACACACTCACTGACACACACACACACACTCACTGACAGACAGACAGACACACACACACACACACTTACTGACAAACATGCACTCACTCACTGACAAACACACACGCGCACACAGACAGACACTTACTGTTAGACATACACTCACTCATTGACAGACATACACTCACTCAATTACAATGTTTCCTCACATAAAGAGGAGCGTACAAGCGCTTGTCAGATGATGAATGAGAAGAAGGTCCAGCTGAAGCACAAATCATCTGCCTGTGTCTGCCTGTGTGGGGCCTCCTCAGAATTTACTTATATTCAAATATAGTAAAGGTTTGGCCCATGTAAATTCACGTTCCTTGTTCTAGTCTATGACAGTTTATTTCCGACATCTCTCCATGTACAAAGTTCACAGAGATCTCATTGCATTGTGTGTCCTCCTAGCATACGAATCAAAGGAAAAGAATCCCTTGCCCATGGCTGAATTTGGGATTCCCATCTCAGTTATACTGTTATGTGAAATAATTCTTGGAATATTACTAAGCACCTTCATTGTGTGTGTAATCCTAATGGACTGGATAAAAGGGATAAGGCCAAGTCCCTGTTATCAGATTTTGCTGGCCCTTGGCTTTTCCAACATTTGTAACCCGTATTTGAGTGGTCTTGAGGATTTTGGAACCATTATATTTCCATGGATTGATTCTGTGACTTACTTTAATATTGTTAACATTCTCGATGCCATTGTTCTCTTGTCCAGCTCGTGGCTAACGGCCTTGCTATGTCTGTTCTACGCTGTGAAGATCCTGCCTTTTAAGAGTGGCTTGCTTGGCCAACTGAAGAAGAACATCAATTCAAAGGTGTCCTCGCTAATCCTAGCCACCCTTTCTATATCTCTCCTTAACAGTCTTTCTGTGATTTGGGTATTTGATGACTTTTTTCCCAAGAATAACAAAACTTCTGCCATTGCTAACATCTCCACAGAAGGCAACATGATTCAAATGAACCCACCCATTTTTGATTTGGCTCTCATTATAAGCATTGTCTTTCCTTTCTTGATTGTGACAACAACAACACTGAGCATCGTCTGGTTCCTGTCCATGCACACTCTTCACTTAAAGCAGAATGATGGAATGAATGATGGATCAGTTCTGAAGGTCCACAGAAAAGCAGCCAGGACAATGCGGCTCCTCTTTTTTCTTTACGCTATCTACTTCACTGCCGAGGTTCTCGTAGTGTTCAATGCTCCGACTAAAATGAGTATTGAGTACATGGGAACTGTAATAGTTCTGGGTGCTTATTCTCCTATTCAATCTTTTATCCTAATCTCTAGAAACACCAGATTGTCTCAAAGCTGCGTGAGACTCTACCATTCCATGTTACGCAAAAATATAAAGTAAATCATATTTTATTTATAGCATACAGGATCAATAGCAATACATTATGGGATTTTCCTGTAACTTTGGAAAAAACAAGAAGATATAATTATCAAAGTGTTGCCAACCATTTTATATCTAATTTTCAGCAATGTTTGGGTCGTTTATTAGTTTGTCAAGTTGTTTAATCTGTTGCTATTGTTATGCCTTAACCATAATATTATAATAGACTATGGAATCTGCATTTTGGGTGATACAAAAGATTTTAGATTTTAGAAGTTATTCTATCAGAGTGTCTTGTTTCACTTGTCTTTTTTCGAACACTCTAGATTTTGCAGTCATCTGATTTTCAGAGAATACTTACAAGAAGAATTAACTACAAACAAAACCACCACTTTTAGATCAATTTTAGAACATTTTAATAAATATGATTACAATAATGACAGAATTTAATTCTCAAAATAATGATAAATACGCCCCAATATGTGTGAATATTATTGAGTCATAATTACAAAAATTATACACTGGATTATTCACTAAATATTGTTGGGAATTCAAAGTTAATTCAAATTTTACTAGGTGATTTCCAAATTGACCTCTGATCACGTATATTAAGTGAAATAGAATTATTCACTAAAGTCCAAATGCAAGACAAACCAATTAATTAAGTTATAATAACTGCAATCACATTTTAAAATCCAATATTTACAGCTAATCTTTTTGAGATTTTGTTAAGTAAAGCAAATAAGCACATGTCATGGTACCATCTTATGTCAGCTGTAAAATCAGTGTTTTTCAATATAAATTCACAAACTAAACTCACCAGCATATTCCTGAAAAAAATCCACAATACTTTCTCACTTCTAGCACAAGCGGCCAGTGGGTGAATTGTAATAATCATAATAATAATAATATATGAATAAAATAATATGGATAAACAAGACAATTGTATTTTGCGTTTTTTCCTATTACATAAAAATACATTGATAACATACATTTATTGATTTAAATAAATAAGTTTTAATTAATAGGGTCTATTGGACCTGTCGAAGGAGTTACCCCTTTCTCTCATTGAGTTGGCTATAATGGTGATAATGATAGCTTTGTTTGCTGATATTTTCTGTTAGAAGTTGTTCGTGTCTTCATGCAAATTCTGTCCAATTTTCACTGTATCTGAGCATTCAGTTGTGTATTTCTAACATTCACATTGGTTCTTGTATTGGGTCCGGCTTAAATCCAGTCTACTTTCTCTTTAATTCAGAAGCGGTATTGTAAAATCTAGACATTGGCAAATCTTAACAATGATGACTGGATTTTGTAGACCCGATAGCCACAGATTATTTTTGCTAATCCAGACTGGGTGACTAGCCCGTCAAATAATCAAAGTGTAGAAATTCCCACGCTATTTATGTATGTATTATTGTAATATTAAGATAAGTCTTTTGGATGCAATATGGGAGGATTGTTTACTCCCTTCATGGTGTTTGTTACATTTTTTATAATTCAATAAAAATAATAAAAAATTTAAAAAAAGAGATTCCCACGCTAGAGAATAACCTTGTTAGCTTCACTTGGAGTCTAAGTATCTTAGAAAATGTGTATTACACAGGGTATATGGAACCTCAAAGACGTTTTAGGATGTCATAAATAGCTGTGAAAACGATTAGCCTTCACCATAAAAAGAAGGAAAGTGGGAATATGTCTAAAATATTTCATTAATCTCACTAATTAGGAATGTTATTAATAATAATAATAATAATAATTATAAGTGAGAAGGATGTAATATAAGCCTCCTCAATGGTAATATTTTATCAACTTCAGAACCAAGAATGACTAGCTAGAATTTACCATGAATCAAACGTGACCCTTACCTCAGTAGCTACCTGTAGTATAGAAGTAATGTAAGCTGCATCATGCATATGTAACAGTATTTTTGTCACTTATTTTGGATGAACAGCATAAAGGAATGGATTACTGTGACAGAACCGTCTGTCTTTGTATTATGTTTCTCCTCCCTCCATTCGTCTGTTTGTTCGGTTATTTCTTTGCCCGTACAGTCCCCCTGTTTCCCCGTATTGTTTCCCGAAAGACTACCGAATACGTGACCACCGGGAAGCTGGCGTGTGCGGTCAATTGACCACCCAGTATCTGCGGTTAACCGCAGCTTAATTAACTGTTACAGGGTGGTCGCGTTTACACATAGCCACCACACGGTGGAAGCTCCCCCGGACAGCCAGCGGCGCTCTGCCCAGCCTCAGTACACCAAAAGCGGACACTTTCCTCCCAAGCACCGCTGAACTACCAGCCTACGGGTCTTCAGATCCGTTCGTGAACCGAACAGCGGAGCATTCAGGACTTTATGTCTTATACTGTATTACATGTGAGGGTACCCTGTATTCGTGTGGTCTGAGCACCATTCACCTAATAATGTGCTCTCAGACCTGAGCTATCTGGGGGTATGTTATATGTCTGTATTTATTGTGACATTTGTGACACTGTATATTTTACGAGTAATTTCTATTCTGGTGTCCCCACGTGTGTAATGGTGATTTGCCTTTGTCCTGGGAGATAATTGAATTACTTCTCAATAATCTCCAGGGCAGAGTGGAGAAAGCCAGTGTGCATTGTGGGGATGTATTGTGACTGTGTGTCCTGATCTGATACCTGTCCGTCTTTTGTTACAGTCTCCCATTTGGTCCCCTAGGGGAGTATCCACCAAGTGGGAGACCTGCATAAATACGGGCAGGTAGCCCTCATTAAAGCCAGATCTTGTTTTACCCTCAATACGGAGCTTGGTCTCGTGATTGGGGTGGGGATTTACTATACAGGATAGACACTGACTGCTGGAAATGTAAGCCGCTTGGATGCTGTGTCTGTTCTTCTGTTAGCAGCGATTCGTGGAATTACCGTTCGGGAGTTTGAAGTATTACTGGTACGCTGTTCGGGTATTAGGAGCATTCCCCTGGTTTCTAGTTCGGGAGTTTGGGGTTCTAAAGTAGTCGTACCTGTATCCCTAAAAGGGGAATCTCTACTAAGCGGCGGTTTCACTCCGTTATGCCGGGAGTGTCTTAACAATTACAAATGGTTAAACTTAATAGACTTTAGTCTTTTTCAGCCCAAATTACTATATAACTATGTAACTATGTAACTTAGTAACTATGTAACTAAATACCTATGTAACTATGTGACTATGTGACTATGTAACTATGTAGCTGTGTAACTATGTAACTATGTGACTAAGTAACTATGTAACTATGGGACTAAGTAACTATGTAACTAAGTAACTATGTGACTATGTAACTATGTAACAATGTGACTATGTAACTATGTAGCTATGTAGCTATGTAACTAAGTAACTTTGTAACTATGTGACTAAGTAACTATGTAACTAAGTAACTATGTAACTATGTAACTAAGTAACTATGTAACTATGTGACTATGTAACTATGTGACTATGTAACTATGTTGACTATTGTAACTATGTACTATGTAACTATGTGACTATGTAACTATGTAACTATTTGACTTTGTAACTATGTAGCTATGTCACTATGTAACTATGTGACTTTGTAACTATGTAGCTATGTAACTATGTGACTATGTAACTATGTGACTATGTGAATATGTAACTATGTAACTATGTGACTATGTAACTATGTGACTATGTGAATATGTAACTATGTAACTATGTAGCTATGTAACTAAGTAACTATGTAGCTATGTAACTATGTGACTTTGTAACTATGTAGCTATGTAACTATGTGACTATGTAACTATGTAACCATGTGACTATGTGAATATGTAACTATGTAACAATGCGACTATGTAACTATGTGACTATGTGAATATGTAACTATGTAACTATGTGACTATGTAACTATGTAACTATGTTAGGGTTCTGAGGGTTTCTATGCATAAAGCATGTGACTGTATCCATTTACAGGAGATTTTCCACGTCTGCCCCAGAAAGTCTTACTTGTGTCTCAAGCCTTGTGTTATTCTATCAGACAAGGAACATATAGTATGAATAAACTGTGGCTTTGGACAAGAGCCCTGAGAAAGGTGAAAATAATGAAAAGAAAGTGCACACACTAAAGATACTAAAAACTGTGCTCTTTATTAATCCACCATGTACGCACATTGTCATATATGGTGTTTCCATTGTGTCTTATCTTATTTTTCTCTGATTTTGTACTTGAAAATGAATATACAAGAAAAATGTATCCTGTGTGCTATTGGTGTCAGGAGTGGTGTCTCTCAGTGTATTAATACGCTCTGTCACATATCAGCATAATAATCAGATTCCAATGGGCTAAAAACCATTAACTTTGCTTGAACAGGCAAATGTGTACCTTGCCTTATTACCACCCAATGCCAACAGGTACCTACAGCTGCTCCAATGATGAAAGTGGACAAGGACACCCTAGACATTGTCAATATGGAAGCCTACCAACCTGCTACAAATATAATATATAGACTGACATTGAATAAGGAGGCACAAGTGAGCAAACGCATATTTGAGACTTGGGTGGAGTCTAACCGAAGAGCAAGCTACCAAGTTTTGTTGTCATTTAATATAGTCTGTATACAGGGTATATAGTGTCATTACATTTTTCTTCTCAGGATGAGGCTGTTGGTAATCATGGTGCACTCCAATATCTGCATTCACTCTTTTCCCTTCATTCTGTTGACCTCAAGCTAAAAGAACCCCAGAAAAAGGCATGCTTATCAGAAAAGAATGGAACTCATGTCAAGTTAATAGCAAATCAAAATGAGAGCAAAAGCTGTAGGTGCAAAGCATTTTATCATTTTAGATAGTGAAGGAATTGTTCATTGCTGGACATTGAGAGCTCTATTTGGGGCAAGGTGGGGTCAGGTAGGGTTGGGGCAATTTAACCAGATTTTTGCAGATATTAGCATTTCAAGCCAGCTCCCCCTGACATTCAAAGAGTGAGAAGTCCTTTCCTACCTTCAATGCTTAGACAGATGGCAGCTATAAGTTAGCGAATATCGACTATTTTAATTGCTGTATGTTTTTTCTTTTTGTAAATCGGGGCTTTTTTTACTATAAACTGTCATCACGATATGATAGATTTT